GGGAGGGGGGGGAGAATCCCTGCGGGGAAGCTGTGACTGACAGTCAATGCTCTCTGCAGTGAGACGATCGTGAAGTGAGCGAGCGACGGTATTTGTTAGCTTACTTCCCGATCAATAGAGCCGACCTGCGACAGTCTCATTGTCACAGGTCGGCTCTAATTATGAGGATGAATGAAAAACGCTCACCTCATAGTTCTCCTTTAAATACTCCAATCACATACCTATAAACACCAGGTATTTTGCAGCAGATGTGATGGATGACGAAGCAGTGGGTAAGGGCAGTGAAACATAAGTAGAGGTGGACTTTAAAAAGAGACTCAGTGACTTTGTCATTTTTCTCCTTAGGTCATGGCTACAGAACTGAGTTAGTCAGAATGTGATACCAACTGTCAAAGGCATGTGTGACGACTTATTGGAAATGGTACATAAGTGGGCACAAGTGGCAATCTCTCACAACCCAAGGTAAGGAGAAAACCACTTTGCAAAGGACACTTTGTTCCCCTTGTTAGGACAAAACCTCCTAAGGAAAGACTGTTTACTTTGATTGAACCTTGTAATGCCATATTGAAAACCAAAAAAAGCAATAAAGACCCTTTTCATTTCTGACTCCACACGGAGACACTGAGCTTTCAACAAAAAGTGTAGTGCAGGGACAAAGTAAAATGCCATAATTTCTATGCTAACAAAAGACATCCGGGCTCACATTTTTAAATTGTAAATTTTAAACAGTTTCTAAAGTGGAATGTATTATGTTTACAGACATTTACTTTGAGTGTTACATTCATGAGAATAAGACAGCATTGTTTTTTTTTTTCTATTTCATTAAGTATGAAAAGTTATATTCATTTTATTTTAACCCTTTAGAAGCCAGCAAGTGGAGTACAAATCTGTATTTGGGAATTTGAGATTAGTAGTCTAAAACCTAAACTGCCACTGCCATCTACTGCATGCTTGTTCTGTGTCTGTAATTGAGAAGTACTACAGTCAGACACAGCAAGGCAAGCAGTATTTTCAGAAGAAAATCACCAACAGAAACAGGGTGGGTTTTTACCCCCTTCCACTGATCCACAAATGCTAGATGGATACATTCTTTTAACAGCGGTGAGCACCAGTTATGGAACTGCTTTGCCTGCAGAACTGCAACTCCCACCCAGCCTGCCAAAGTTGTATTGAATTTACATGAGAATATTTTAGAAGTATGTTTACAGAGGATTCTGGAGACTCCAGCTCTGATCAGAGGTCATCGGAAGCTCGTCCCATAAATGTTGCAATTGATGTCCTCACATTTCTTTCAGGACAAGTGTACTTTAGACTGTTCCTAAAAAGGTATTAACTTAACAGTAAAAGCAATGTAACTTACCCTCCACATTTTAGACCCAGAGCAAGCAGAGCAGATTTCAATCTGTCCAATCCAAGTGAAGCCAATTCCTGATAGAAGACAAGGAAAACATGCACAATTCATTGGAACGAAGATATGTGCACATGGTTGATACCCACATTTCCTAGTTTAGCTTTGCAACTATACATGCCCCTTCTCCACCTCTAACCTGTTCATTAAGTCAAAAATAGGAGCGCCCCACAAAAGAAGAGCGCCCAAGCAATGTGCAAAATTTATTCAAGGTAAAAGTAAAACAAATCTCAGGCTAATCACGGTTGAACCGCTGGTGCCTCGCCGGCGTCTAATTCACACTGATTGAGGTCTCTTTCTGTTAGCCTGGGCTGTTTTGGATCCATGACTATACATTCTGGATGATTATACAAAATCTTCATGTATACTACACTTGTGAGTCGCCTGAAATTGATTTTATTTTTACTAAATTGATTTGCCACTGGGCTTTGACATGTGTGAGAGGTTTCCTATCTGATGAAGAGCAGCACCCTGAGACGTATTCTTGTAGGAGGGAGTGAGAAGATACGATCAGTATATATATACTGTTTATTGTTCACTAGGTCACATCATACATCTGATTCACCATGGGATACAAACCAGCTCACAGCTGCAATACCAGGAGTGAGCTTTTTGTTTTTTTTACATATGTGACAGTCGGGCCTCTAATTCTGTAATAGAGCCAATAGACCCCTATTGCCTCCAAAAAGAGAACCAGTCACTTCATATGTACTTGGGGGGGGCATTGCGATGGCAATAAAAAAAAAAAACAGAAAAAACTAATGTTTAAAATGCATTGTGGTTAAAAGTTAAAGCTACAAGTTTTATTTCAGGCACACACTATTTTGAGGCTTGGCAGATTTGATATTTAATTCAAACACAGTCACATTTTAAACTTAAAAACAAATAGAGATATTGGGTGCTTGTATACACCAAAAGTAATTTGAGGGAATTTACTACATTTTCAATGCAAATATGCGTATTTGAAGATGTGTGTAAAAAGTAAAAACATTTGCTCTTGTAGCAGGAGTTTCCAAAAATGAGAAACAAAATCAAGGTGCATCATAAAAGAAAGAGTTGAAAGTCCTGCATAGTTTTCCTAAAATGTACACAACCCCAGCAGAAAATGGCGTATACGCTTTGTGAGAGCTGCAGCTGGGCCTCAATGCAAGATCCTGATAAAGCTAAGAATCTCAAACCCAGTGAGAATAGTCTCCCCTAGGCAAACATACTGGTGTAAGGAAAGTATTTGTTCTTTTATATCTTTCTTCAAAAGTTTGAGTTTGTTAGGCCTGATTCACACCTAGGCGACATCGCGTAAAACATGCGTGCATTAAATTAAGTGTTTTTATGAGCAGATTGTGACACATTGATGTAAAGAAACAATTGCAACACCCGTTTCCAAGCATTTCCTATTGACTCTATGGGGACAAAACGAGCTGAAATCTGCCAAAAAGAAGCTCATGTACTTTTCCCAGCAACAGGCGTTTTGCTTACTGCGACAAAACGCTCAGGTGTGAACAGGGGCCGTAAGAATCAATGGGATTTTTATGTGAAGCATTTTTGTCACGCTTATTCAGCTGCGACACTATGCTCAGTGTGAACCAGGCCTTAATGCGTTCACTTAGGGGCCTATTTATAAACAATTTGCGGAGCCATTTATGTATGAAAGTAACACCTCATAATGGCCACTAGATGGAGCTGAAGAAAAAAGTATTTACAGTATATTCTAGGCTTCCCAGCTCCAGCTAGTGGCAATAATGCAGTATTTACCGATTACATTTAACCCAAAAAGAAAATATACCAACAACGTTAATTTTTGCCTCTATTCGCACAGAACATTCAGATATTCTCAGGGCATATGGCTCTGAGAATAGTTTAAAAATAGGCCCCTTATTGTTCTTATTCAGAAGTGGCGACTGTTAACTTCCCCTTAACATTTAACCACTTGGCCTTCCAACAAAGAAATAACCAACAGTCTCCAATATTCCACATCATTCATTACAAATACCTTCAATTTTCTGCTACTTATTTTTTTACTAAGGGTATATTTTTACCCTAAAGCAGACTTTGGATATGTATACAACAAAATAGGACTCCACACATTTTCAAAAAACAAAAATTGACAAAAGGTTAAAACCTTACTTCCCACGATGAGAAAGCCGAGAGATCCAAATGAGCTCCAGCATGTGTCAGAGCACTGCTCGTCTCTTTCTAAAAGGAAAAACAAACACGTTAGAAATATTAACAACTCTTTTTGCTTTTTCTTCAAAATAATACACAACTTAACATTTTACAGAAATAGTCATCTATATAAAACAGGATCTCTACGCTAGTTTACTGCAATTGCCAATACTGTACAATTTTCTTCTTTTAGATAGATTTCTGCATGCACTGAATTATCCAGTGACATGAACAGAACAACGCCATCTAAGGGATATACAGCGAAGGCAAACTACAGGAATACCTTGGTTCACGAACGCTTCTGTTTGCGAACAATTCGGTTCGCAAATAGGAGGTCCAGCTAAATTTTGCTTCCGAACTCAAATGCGGGTGACAAACACGACCACGGCCATCTTCCCTGCTCCGACACGTGGTCGTGGCTTCCCCTAGTCGAGATCGCGGTCGCAGACATACCTGTGCAAACTTGCTGTGAAGCTTCTTTGTGTGCTTTTAGTACACACAGTACATAATATTATTCAATCCAGTATGGCTCCAAAGAATGTGCAAAATATTCATACTGTACCTTTGTTTCATTTTTTGTGGTTAATTTTTTTTTTTACATATGGTTGAGAACGCATTAAATGTATTTACATTGAACCCTATGGGAAAATTTGACACTGTTCGTAATAAAAATAGTTTTGCAACCACGTTCGTAGGCGTCAGAACGGATTAACCTTATGGGGAAATTTAATTCGGTTTGCGACCAGAATCGTGGAACAAATTAAGTTTGTGAACCGAGGTACCACTGTATATTCATAGCTGCATTTTAATTGCATCTAAAAAAGTTAGACTACGGTCAACATTAGTTCAGCAAGTTCCAGGAAAACCCAATGTGCTTTTCACTGAAATGTGCCTCAGGGTCTTGTCAATCTTGAGCACCACATAACCAGATTCAAAACACCCCTTTTCCGTTAGGCTTCCCAGGTCTGGACAAATCCCAGGAGCTAGGTAGCCAATACTCCTAAAAAATTATAGCTGGCACCCAACCTTTGAGGTTTTCACTAGTTGTCGTTGTCGTCAATGGAGCTAGCTCCACCAAAAAAATCCTGCTGGCTTGCACAGACTGGCATAATAATTTGCCCACCCCTGGGCTACCCACTGTACTGCTTGCAAGAACCCAGCAGAGCCTAGTCACAACAGAACAGTGTGGGGCTGACTTCACAAAAATAGTAAGCATTGTTTTAACAGTAGAACAGCTGAAATGGTTACTGCCCTAGCCTTGATTGGCGTTAGCAGATTTTTATTGGAACACAAACCAATTGGCAAAGAAAGGTCGCTTTATTCTTTCTCTGTGAACAATAGCCCTGCTTATGGGCTGTCTCTGGCTTTCCAGTTAATTCATTAACCTTGCTTCAGTGCAATATGCTATTGGTATCATCAGTTGCTTACTGGCCAGCCTGGAAAGGTCCCGGTCTCCCATTTCTTCTCAAATTCATTCTGTATTTTTCCAAAGAGCTCATTCTGATCCTGGAGAGGTTTTACCCTATCTGTATAATCCTGCAAGTATTCCAAGAGCACTTCCAAATACCTGTGAAAAGAAGGTAACAGGTCATTGCTATAAAAACCATGTCAATAACTAAATCACTAATGGGAAACAGATTCTAAACCATTACAAAAACAAAATCTACAATCTTCCAAAACCAGCAGACATCCTTCTCTTAGTGCTTCAGGAAAATTTTATAACGGAGAGGCCATTTTTACATAGTAGGATGTAGGATATACTCAAGGAAGACAGATATAATACACCTTAGTGATGATTCTTAGCGACAGCACTGCTGTTCATTTTTCTGTGTACCTACTGCAGCAAAATGAAAATACACATTTAAAAAAATAGGATTTTTGTACTCACCGTAAAATCCTTTTCTCTCCGTTCATTGAAGGACACAGGCAACAGATCGTAGATCCTGAATGGTAGGGTAATATCGCCACCTGCAGGAGAAGGACGCTAGGCACAAAACTAAAGACCAATTACAGCCTAGGGGCGGCCCCTGCCGGTGGCCAAACCCCCCACCTGCTGACAAGTCTCCAGTTTAGTAACAAGCAGTTAGGAGTGTACACCCCATAAAGAGGGCGGGGCCTGTGTCCTTCAATGAACGGAGAGAAAAGGATTTTACGGTGAGTACAAAAATCCTATTTTCTCTCCCGTTCATTGAAGGACACAGGCAACAGATCGTAGATCCTGAATGGTAGGGACGTCACCAAGCAGTACACATTGAGGGATGGGCAACAACAACCAAACACCCAAAAGACACCTCAAAGAGTCGCCTGCAACACTTTGCGCCCCAAACCAGCATCCGCCGATGCCAAAACATCCACCTCGTACAACGTAACAAAAAGGTGTGAACAGAAGACCAAGTAGCGGCCTTACAAACCTGAGAAACAGAGGCCCTATGGCAGAAAGCCCAGGAAACCCCAACAGCCCTAGTATAATGGGCATTGACAGGAAAAAAGGAGGCTCACGCCCCCTAACGACGTACGCCTGAACCACAACAGTACGAATCCACCTAGAGATGGTAGCCGCCAATGCGGCCCGGACCTTACGAGGGCCCACCGTGAGCACGAACAGAGAGCCGGCCTTGCAGAAAGAAGCCGCAGCACCCAAATAAACATGGAGAGCGCGAACCACATCCAGACAGAGGAGCGCCCGCTCCTTCCTATGGACCAGCAGCGGACACAGGGAAGGTAAGACAATGTCCTCACTCAGACGGAAAACCGACAAAACCACCGGCAGGAATGCCGGCCGAGGACGGAGAACCTCCTCGTCCCCATGCAAGACCAGCAATGGGGACTTGCAGCCAATGTAGACAGCCGCCGAACGGTGAAGGCCTCCAAAAGGGTCACTTTCTGTGACCAAGGACATAAGCAGAATCTCCCGAAGCGGTTCAAGACAGAGATTCCTGCAACACTGAAAACACAAGATTCAGGTCCCACGAAGCCAAAGGCGAGCGGACAGGGGGTGCAAAGCGCGGGACCCCCTGAACAAAAGTGCAAACCAGAGCAGTAGACGCCAAGGAACGCTGGAAAAACACCGCCAAGGCAGAGAATCGGCCCTTCACAGTACTCAAGGCAAGCCACTGAGCCACCCCACGCTGCAAAAATTCTGCTGATGGAGAATAAACGCGGGGACAGGGCCCCAGCCTCACACCAGGCAAAATAGGCCCTCCAAGTGCGATGAGAAGCGTTCCAAAAAGCCGCATTGTGCGCCCCGAGCATAGTGGAAATGACCGCAGCGGACATACCCCCAGTCCTTCAGGACCTGGCCCTCAACAGCCACGCCGTCAAAGCCAGCGACTGTAAAGAAGAGTGTAACACAGGCCCCTGGGACAGAAGATCTGGACACAGGGGCAGCCGCCACGGGGCGTCCACCACCAGGTGAACCACAGTCGTGCACCACACCCTCCGAGGTCAGTCCGGGGCCACGAGGAGGACGGTGACGTTCTCGGCCGCGATGCGTCGCAGAAGCCGAGGCAACAGATACAGTGGAGGCAAGGCATAAAGCAGCCCGTAGGCAAGGCATAAAGCAGCCCGTAATGACCCCACGGAGCCAGCAGGACAACTATCGCCTCCGCCCAGGGATCCAGGGCCCGGGCCACAAAGCGGTCCACCTCCCGGTTGAACCGAGACGCCAGAAGATCCACCCCCAGCGAAGACAGAGCTGCTGAAAACACCCTGGTGCAGTGACCACTCTCCCGGGTCCACCGACCCTCGACGGAGGTAGTTGACCAGCCAAATTGCCCACCCCCGGGATGTAATCCCCAGGAGATAAACCTGAACACATTCGAAGCTCCTTACTCCTGACGCTAGGCAAAAAACTGGAGACTTGTCAGCAGGTGGGGGGTTTGGCCACCGGCAGGGGCCGCCCCTAGGCTGTAATTGGTCTTTAGTTTTGTGCCTAGCGTCCTTCTCCTGCAGGTGGCGATATTACCCTACCATTCAGGATCTACGATCTGTTGCCTGTGTCCTTCAATGAACGGGAGAGAAATCCTTGTTTTTACTGGTGCGTCTTCACACCATGCCCATGCATTACAAAGCAAATGTTCTCAATGCATTGTATAGTAAGATTAGTTGACAAGTTTCCTGTGCGTTGGTGATTATATAGTGAGAGAGCGATAAACACAAAACAGCACAACAAGTAAACTGTGCAAGAACTAATTATACTACTAATTGAGACACCATGCAACAACTTAAATCTTAAACCACCAACCGTTTGTATTCAGCATTTTTACGTTCTTTGGGAATGTCGAAAAGTTGGTCAAACGTTGTTAGGTATGAGATATAATCCAGTTTCTGAAAAAAAGACAAAAAAGGTAATTTATGAACATTTAAATTAGTGTTGCCCAAACCTATCCTCAAATCCGACTAATGATTTTGCAGGTAACCTTGTAGATACATATTTGGAATAATCAGTGATATAACAATGACATTTAGCCACCCGGGTACATATCAAGAACATGTTGTGAATATAAAAAGGAGAATTTTTTTTTTTTTTGGGTAGCGTGGGAAAGGGTTGGAACACTTTTAGGGCTCTTCATGTTTTGTATACCCTCCTAGGCAGATAACTTCCTTTCCAAATGCAAAAGGTCTCTACTCCTTCCTCTATGAATGACACTTTAAAATGAATGTGGCATTTTTAGCAAATAATTCAGACGTAGGTTGCAAATACCTGAATATGATGATACCTGAACATGCTGGGCAGAAGATTGCTAGGAAAGAACATGTGAAGGACTTCACAGTAATAAACAGACATCTATGGCAGTCTCTCCCTAAACAACTTTACCACTGCTAATTTAAAGGCAGACTTCCAAGTTTTGAGCTTTAACATGTGGCCATGGAAGAAAAGGAAGCTATGTACATCACTGAACAGACTCCTCAGCCTCCTGAGGCAGAGGTATCAGGTTGTTTATATATTAATAAACCAAAATTGTGTTCTAAATGGTCACTGCACATTTCTATTACTAGAGAAAAGCAAATTTTTTTTTTTTTTTTTTTTTTTTAGGAAAACATCAAAGCCTTAAATGTATAATTTGACAATGTTTTGAAATTGTTCCAGCTAATTTTAGGTACTACTTGAAGGACCCACCAAGACGCACACTTTTAGAATAACTATTTTGGCTGACAGCCATTTAATTTTCTTTATTTGGAAAAAATCCTTTAAAACACCAGCTTTCTTACCTCTGATGACTTGAGGTTTGTGTACTTCGAGTAACAGTCATGAAGGTCCAAATATCGACCATAGCTCTCTTCATCTGTGAACTCCACCAAATCTAAAAGAAAGAACACATTTACCCAACTCAGAGCTTTTTTTTTTTTTTT